CTTGGGTAAAGAACCTCTTCATTTATTACTTGTGCTATAGGTATAAATTTGTAACAAGGACTGAACAAAAAAAATAAAATGCATACAGGAGTTTAGAGGAAAACTCCAGCCAGAAATGTCCACTGCCATCAGTAGCTCTGCTCTGCACTCTGTCTAACAATATCTAAAGTCTTTACACTCTGGGAAAAGTAACCAGCTATAGAAAAAAGGCCAGGATGGAATTGCACATTAACCACTTGCCCTCCAGAGGATTTACCCCCCTTCCTGACCAGGCCATTTTTTGCGATGAATGAATGATGCACAGTCATGCAACACTGTACATAAATTAAATTTATGTCCTTTTTCCCCACAAATAGAGTCTTCTTTCGGTGGTATTTGATCACCTCTTTGTTTTTTGTGCTATAAACAAAAAAAAGACCGACAATTTTGAAAAATAAAAACAATCTTTTTGACTGTTATGAAACATATCCAACAAAAAATTATAAAAATCAAATTTTGTAAAAAATTTAGGCCAAAAATCCCAATATGTTCACATTAATTGGTTTACATGATATAAGTATTCTGAATCTGAAAATTCCTTGAGCATGTTCAGTTATCTCTCATCATCCATTGTTGCCTGAAAAATGTACTGTATGAACCAATGAGCTGTCACAGTAGAGGGACCCCTGCCAAATGGCCAAATTCCTCCTTGTGGTCCAGTGACTCCCCCTCCACCTCTCATCCTGCCACCGTGGGATGAGAGGTGCGGCTTTCGTCACCCCTGCTCCTATCTTCTCACTCACCAGCCGCGCGGAGAGCAGAAGGTGCGAGCCTCCCGCAGGGATGTTCCAGGCTACGGCATCTCGCTGACGCCACCTCAGCCCTGTCATCCACAGTGCAAGCACGCTTGCAAAAGTCCCTGGACAAAGGCCACGCTCAGAGAGGCGCAGCCCCTGTCCAGGGGGTGTGCCTCATTGCCGGGCAACGAGGCACGCCAGCTCCGGCTCACGCCGGTTACCTAGATGACCAGGGAGCGTCCCGTATCAGCTTAAGCATCCGGGTCGTTGTTCACCACTGCGCCAGCCACCAAAGGAGCCCAGCTGCGGCAGGACCTTTGGGGACCAGACTCTGCAGAGCCCGCTAGCCAGACGATGAACCGCACCCCCAGCTGCTGGAGACCCCCAGAAGGGGAGAGATTGCCTGCTAGCTGCCCGAGACCCCCAGTCCAGCGGAGGGATTGCCTGCCAGCTGCCAGAGACCCCCATAAGGGGAGAGATTGCCTGCTAGTTGCCCAAGACCCCCAGCACAGGGGAGAGATTGCCTGCTAGCTGCCCGAGACCCCCCAGTCCAGGGGAGAGATTGCCTGCCAGCTGCCTGAGGACTCAGCCCAGAAGGGGAGACCACCCGCATGATCCGAACTCCAACAGGTACCTGTGTTCCACTTTCTATCCCTGGGAGATCAGGCACCCTGTTGGATCGTGAGTATATGCATTCTCCCTGTTTTACCTGAACTGTTCCTGTACTGACCCCTCACCCCCCCTGTTGGATTACAATTGCTACAGAGACTCTATAACTGTTCTAGCCCCTCCTTGCTACCCTGTACGGGCGGATATTTACCCTCCCTGCAAGTCCCTCTATTGCGTGACTGTCATCTGTTCGTCTCAATAAAGCTTTTTGCGTTTGCCATCTACTCTGTGTGTTCTGTCCTGCCTACCCTCCATCACATGAGCATACCATCACAAATGGCACACCACACAGTCACTGATGGCCTGCAGTTTTTCCAATGGTCCAGTCTGGATGCTGTGTATTCTGAGCCCAGTACTGGCAGTTCACAAAACCGCCAACATGGACCAAGGACTCATCTGAACAAAGATTAGTTGTAAAATATTCAGTTCCTCCCCAATCTATGCCAGCATGGACTCCATGAACTCCATTTTGACATCACAGTCTTCACATGACAGAGCTAGGCAAAATTTGGTTTCTATGGCGGCCAATTATTTTTCTTCATTAAACACTGCACTGGTCTATATGGCATACCAGATTCCCACAGGTATTGCTGAAGGGACTTCTTGGGGCTACTCTGGAATGCCATGGCTGCTGCAACTTCTCTTTCCTCTGTGATAGCTGTCTTTGGCCAACCAGTGCCCTTCTGCTGATTCACTGAACTGCTAGCCATCAAGCTGTTGTGCAGTCTGTTTATGGTTTTGTAATCCAACATCTCATGTTTACCTTTTACTGTCCTCCACCATCTCTGCACAACAACTGGAGCTTGCAACACCTCCATTTGCACAGAAATGCGAGCACGATCATACACTGAGCCTGCTACACACTATTACTTGCTCACATGGGAAAGTGCTGCCACACATAGCAGAATGAGGAACAAAATAAGGAAAGTACTAAAGGACACAGATGATTGTGCCATATAGCAAATAAATTCCATACCTCACCCAATTCTTTCAACTACCACATCAAAATAAAAAATTGGACATAAATAGGGATCATCCTGGATATCAAAATTCCATATTTATTTTAGCTTCTTCTAATCCTTGGCACACTGGAAGAGCCATGATCAGCACTCTGAGACAATCAGAAATGGTTTGTACATGTTTAGTCAAAGTCACAATGTACAATCACAGAGAATAGGGATGACCTCATCAATGAGCTAATGTTCCATTAGGTCCAATCAGCAGTTTGGGAGTGGGTCTTTAACCAAGCTGTAATGCTTAATTGTGCTGGGATTCAATGGAAGTCCAAGACCTGGCTTTTGCTGGCTGACAGGGTATTTCGATCCCAGTACCAAACAAGGTTATACTTTTGGCAGATGATACAATTTATGTACATTTCAATTGTGTATTTCTTTTGTGGTCTAGAGTTCAGCATTCATTATTTTAAAACATTAGTAGTAGTAGCATCAGCAGGTGTATTAAATTATGTGTATCTGCAAGATGTATCTGCTAAAGGCTTCATCTAGTTCTATTAACTAGATGTCAATAAAGGAATGACACCTTTAAAATATAATGCCTTCTGTTAATTCAACTATTACTGGGTTAAAACCCTTCATGGGAAAGGGTATCAACTGTGTCTCAGACATTCCTTCTAAAGATAGCAGGGACAAGTTTCTCACCTTGCTATCTGTCCCTATCTGTCTTCTAACAGCATATGGATTTTTACTGAAGAATGTTTCCTTTGCATACAGAAGAATGTAGAGGTCACCTTAAGGGAAAACATTGTGTCAAAATGATCAATAGGTCTAGACATGTATGCAAATATCTTTTATTCAAAGTAATTTTTTTTCTTCTCCATAACGACTTAAAGTAAAAAATGCCATTCCTCTTCCTATTCCATCTAACAGTACCAGTGCATAGAGACTGTTATAAGCTCCCTATGTCACATCTTTCTAACTATCCCAAGGTAGCAGCTGTGAAAACTCAACCTGGAAATTAAACTTTTGAAGATAAAGTCAAATTTTACAGTCTGTCTAGATACAGGGGCATCATCTCTCCCTCATTATTGGCTGGAACAAGTTTTTGTTTTATTTTTTAACATCAATGAACAGTTTATATTGGTGCTATCTAGGGATTTATTTTTACAGAGCTGTGACAGGAGAGAGAGAGCAAAAAAAGGGCTTTCAACAGCCTCTGTTAGATAGGTATGATATTGGTCATTTTAGGCTTCCCTTAAGAGGATGCAGGAGAGGGCTGGACCAAATTTCACTTTTACAGGAAAAGCATACTTTGTAAAGTGGTTCTAAAGCCTCAAAGTGTTACTAAACCCACAACAGTAAAATCAGTTTGTATATGCAGTAAAGCATGCTTGTTATATTCACTGTGGATCCTAAGGGGTTAATCCTCCACATTGTGTAAAAAGGAGGTTTGATCCAGTCTTCTCTGATCCTCCCCTTCTTCTACTGTCCCCATTCCATCTGGTGATAAAACAGAGTGTTGGGGGCAAGCTGTACATGCTCAATTTGGTGTGTATTGCTGGAGTTTTTGTTTCTTGGTAGAGTGCATGTGATCAGCACAGGGCCAATCAGCGCTGTCCAGAAAGAGGGTCAGAGGTTATGCAGGCTCATAGGACAATCAAGGGAGAATGAAAACTTCTACAAGCTTTAACCAGCTCTGCTGGACATTGGTAGAAGTAACTGCTCTAACTGCTGATGAGGAAAGGTATTTAGCAGTTTATATTTACTAAAATAATTGCATTTCCATGTTCTGTGCATTATGGGAGACCAGATATAGTGAATGCAGGGTCCTGAGTTTAGTAACACTAAGGTTTCCTAACTTAATGCACTCTGTGCATTAAGGTAACAACCTTATGTTGCAGATCCCCCCCTCCCCAGCCCCCCCCCCTGTACACTTACCTGAGCCTTATCTCGATCCAGCGATGTGCATGAGAGCAGCGTCTCTCCCGGCTCTCTCCTTCCTCACTGTACAGACTGATAGCAGTGGGAGCCATGGGCTACTGTTAATAAAATCCTATGATGAGAGAGCAGGGTGCGGGGCTGAGCCCCACTGTCTGTGTCAAATAGACACAGACAGCAGGGCTCGGGAGCGAGCCCGCATGTGTCACCATAGGAAGTGCTTCCTATGGTGGCACATGGGAAAAAAGGAGGAGCTGAGAGCACTGGCAGGGAACCCAAGAAGAGGAGGTTCGGGGCTGCTGTTTGAAAAGTATAACATGTTTGTTATTTTAATTTAAAAAACTGGGAATCTTTAATATCACTTTAAAGTGTTACTAAAGCCAAAACTGTAAAATCAGTCTGTATATGCAGTAAAGCATGCTTGTTATACTCATGGTGGAACCTAAGGGGTTAATCCTCTGCATTGTGTAAAAGGATGTTTGATCCTATCTTTGATCCTATGTTTGATGTTTGTCCCGCTCTAATCTCCTGCTAAGACATATTGTGTGGAGACACTGCACATGCTCAGTTTGGTGTGTATTAATAGAAAGGTTTTTTTTTTCTTGGGAGAGTGCATGTGATCAGCACAGGGCCAATCAGCAGTGTCCAGACAGAGGTTTTGCATCCTCCTAGAGATAACTCCTATAAGCTTTAACCAACCAACAAGACTGCTATATACTGCTGATGAAAAAAGGTATTTTGCAGTTTATATTTACTAAAATAATTGCATTTCCATGTCCTGTGTACTGTGGGAGACCAGATAAAGTGAATGCAGGGTCCTGGGTTTAGTAACACTTTAAGCTGCCTACTGTATAGATCTGTGAATTTACTGATCACTTTGGCATGAGATACTTACTGAAGGTAACTTTTGCTTTCCTGTTTTTTTTCATAATATGCTAAAACCAAGTTTAATTTTTATGTATTTCTGTACTTCTATTGATGTACTGGGAAAAACATCAGTGTGCATGTTACGTTGCATTAATTCATACCAGTAAACATGCATTTCCTACAAAGTAAACCAATCAAAAATGCATTCACTTGCATCCATAAAAAAACTCCCAAGAATGTTTTGATATGATGAATAACTATGTAATGCTTATTAGTACTGATAGTTCAATACTTTCTCTACAGGAAAACCAGTAAGGGGCCTGAAGTTCCCAGCTTACCAGTTAACCAACAAAAGAAAGTAGACAGGTGAAATACAGTATGGAGCCTTAAGCTGGAAGGCTATGTTTCCTGTAAGCATTTCAAGGCTTTTTTTAATTCTTCTTACTCAAGTGTACCTTTAGTAGTCTAGTTTTGTGAAGGTCAAGATAATGACAAATAGGAAAAATAAGATAGCTATCTAAGAGCCAGCAGCTCTGGAACAACGGTCTATTAGCACACATTTTATGATGGCATCTATTAACATGCTTGAGGGTTGTGTGATATGACATGTATTATAGATGCTAAATGATTTCTAATGACCTAAGTTATATTATTGTGGAACACATTTGGACATTTTAGATATATAAATATGCTGATAAGGGAGTTTTTAACTGCAGGGAGGCTCTTTTCAAATATTTGAAAAATACAGTTTTGAAATACATAAAATCTATGTGATTTTTGCGAGCAAGATGTAATTAAGAATCATTTCATGCCCTTGCAAACTGCAGTAAAATATCACATCATATATTAAATGTAGCCATCGGGTTTTATGCATTCCTAAAAGTAATAATGAAATACTCATGGGCATGTATATCAAGAGGATTAGTAAAATTGTCTTTGTGAGCAGTATTTTATCAAATACTTATTAAGGTTATATGTCACAAAAGACTGTTCATTTTCATACTTTCGAGGAAGATTTATTATTCTAGACAGCAGATTAAGAAAACTATCACAATCTGTAAGTAGAAATAAAGGGAACATAAATACAGAAGTTCAAAGTGTAAGTAAAATATAATAAAAATAAAACTTTTTTTTGCATTCAGCTCACAATATGTGGGAAACTGATTCCATCACTTGTGGGTCTGAGCTTACAATGACATTACCTAACTTAACCACCCCTCCCACAGCAAAAACATTATGATAGGAATTATCGGCAGATATAAGCTATCCATAAAGGGTACTCTGATGGGGGAATGATGTGAAATAAAAGAATCAATTATCCTTGTGGTCATAACAGAACCCCTAAGGATTTTCTTTCCAGCTTGGGCAACATCTGTGTAAAAGGACTATTCACTTTTACCATATAGACCGTAAAAACAAAAATATTTACCGTATAAACTTGGTAAAAGTAGTGATAGTTCCAAAAATTCTATATAAGCTCCACATGCTTCCAATAAGTTTGCCAGGGTCTTTTTTAAAGGTAATAAAGAAGTTGATACGCAGGTTTATATGGGCAAATAAGAAATCAAGAATCAGACATGAGGTACTGTGTAGGGTAAAAAAGAATGGGGGAATGGGGTTGCCTAACTTTAGAAAATAATATTTAGCGGTTTTATTGTCACGAATAGTTGATTGGACATTTAATTCACAAGCGAAAGGGTGGGTAAACATGGGAGGAACACTAAGTAAGGCACCATTAGGGAAGATGGTATGGATACCACATAAATTGAATTTATTAGATGAAGGTATGAGTCCTCTCACAAAAAAAGTACTAAGGGTTTGGGATAGAATATACAAGCAGAAAGGATGGAAATATAATTCAGTATTGATTCCTTTGGTGGGCACAGAGTATTTCCCCTCGGGGAAAGATATCATTTTTGGTAAATGAATTAAGGATAGAAATGCACTTTTGAAGGATATTTTGACTAAGGGGAAGTTATACAGGTATCAAGAGTTAAGGGAGAAAAGTTATTTATTTGTCACATTAGATGAGTGGAGGTATGGGCAACTAAGACATTTTGTTTCATCGATCCCCCATCAATTGAGGATTGTGGAGGATATGTATCCGTTTGAAAAATTGATGAATGTTAACATAGCTCCGAAACATATTACTTCTAGGATATATAAGATCCTTATAGATATGGAGGGAGTCGATCTTCCCAGGTTTTCGGAAAAATGGGAAAGGGAGTTAGGAACAAAATTAGAGGTACAACAATGGAACACAATATCAAATTTTACACATGAGGTGACAAATATAAGCACAGTAGAAATGAATTATAAGTGTCTAACGAGAGGGTATATTACACCGAGTGTGGCGCATAAGCAGCAAGTTGATGCTTCACCTTTGTGTTGGAGAGGTTGTGGTAAAAAAGGTACAATGGCACACATTTGGTGGGACTACCCGAAAATACAAGAGTTTTGCAAGGAAAAAATTCATGGCATTCAGGAAATCAGTGGGAATATTATACAAACAGACCCGTGGATGTGGTTATTTTTTTTGAGAGCCTGTAGCTACTAATAGTAAAAATAGGATATTATATCATCTAATTAGCACAGCCAAGGGCCTGATCCCTAAGTTCTGGCAAGAGCCACCCAGAATGAAGGATTGGTTAAACAGAGTGGAAAATATACTGTATTTAGGATGGAGGAGCTGTGTCAAGCGGTGGAAGATAAAAAGGAAGAACTATTCACAAAGCATTGATAATTATAGCATGGTTTTATTATCACTCTATCATCCACTCCCCAAATATCTCTATTTCTATGCTGATGACACCCAAATCAATCTCTCTACCCCTCAGCTCACTCCATTAGTAGAATATGCATCACTAATCTAGTAACAGACATATCAGCCTGGATTTCACACCACTTCCTGAAAATTAATCTATCCAAATCTGAGCTCATATTTCCTCCCCTATGTGCCCTCAAAATCAATGACTCAACTATCAACCCGTCCCCACATGCCAGGTTGCTAGGTGTAATCCTAGACTCTGAACTATCATTTCATCCAATTGCTGTCTAAAGGTTGCCGCCTCAACCTGCACAACATCTCCAAGATACGCCCCTTCCTAACCAATAATATCACAAAGCTTCTAACTCACTCACTGGTCATCTCTACTGACTATTGCAACTCCTTCTTCACTGGCTTACCTTTGCATAGGCTATCTCCCCTCCACTGGCTCCCACTCACCCAACAAATTAAATTTTAGATACTTGCAACAACTTATAAAGCCATCCACAACTCAACCCCTAGTTACATCACTAATCTGGTCTCAAAATACCAACCAAATTGTTCTCTTTGTTCCTCCCAAGAACTCCTGCTCTCTAGCTCCCTTATCACCTCCTTCCATGCTTGCCTCCAGGATTTCTCCATAGCCACTCCCATCCTCTGGAACTCCCTTCCCCAATGTTTTTGACTGTCCAATTTTAGATGATCCCTGAAAACTCATCTCTCCAGAGAGGCCTATCCTGCCCCCACCTAACAACTGTTAGATTGAAAGCTCTAATGAGCAGGGCCCTCTAAATCCTCTTGTATTCATTTGTATTGTAATTGTACTGTCTTCCCTTATGTTGTAAAGCACTGCATAAACTGTTGGCACTATATAAATCCTGTTTATTAATAATAATTTCAAGGGATACTTGAAAAGGCTTGTATATATGTGCAGTCAGAAATTAACAGCTAAAAAAAGGGAAATTTGTCAGCAATCTTACACCATTAAAGAGGACCTGAACTGTGGAAGCTGCGCCCAACAAAAAAGGCAAAAGAGGACCAAAAGTCATGTAACCAGTATTGCGAGTAGGCCCTGAAGATAATTTTTTCTTCATTACCGACGTACCATTCCTTGTTACTGCATCCAGTGATCAGGAGAGATGCAGAAATCACAGATTCATTAAATGGATGGTGCAGAAGCATGGAGATCCTTACACAGCATGTCCTCAAATACATCTTCCACTCCTACTAATAGGACTGACATTCATAGGCACAGTTCTTTAGATGTAGCTATGAGGCTCATGGCAGAACAGGGTCTAGGCACAGTCACAGGTGAGAAAGTACACTGCTGTTTTTCAGGAGGAATTTGTTTCCTATATGATAACAACCTTCACTTTTTAAAATGCATGTCGACTTTAAAGGCAGCATTATGTACTTGCGGCAGCAGATACATCAGATGGTTGAACTTACTCTCTTTCCATTTATGGCTGACATCTTTCAGGGGTGTACTTTGCTAATTTGTTCAGTTTTTGTGGATAGATGAATTTGTGGCTGCTACAGCCAACATAATTTGAGTTTGAATCACCACACCAGCTAATGGAGTGGTTTTGTTTTCCCTGGCAATAGCTTGGGTACCCAATCAGCTGAGAAGAAGGATCGAGACAGAGATGCTGCAGAGATGAGCTACCTGAGATGTGTGCTGCAGCACTTTTTATGGCAGAGATTTTGCTGGCTGTGAGGGAAAAGATTCTACTTAAGCTGTCTGTTAGGCTTGCACCATGCAGCTCCTGAAGTAGATTAATGATGAGACCTGTTACTTGTTTTAATAATTATACACAGATTTCCCACAGTTACTATAAAACCACTACAGGGTGACCCAGTTGCAAAGATCAGCAAACTCTGATTAAATTAGCTGTTGAAAAACATGGCTTTGCTATAAAAGTTTAACACTGAAGTACTTTGAGTCATACTGCAGTGAAAAGAATTCAACCAAAAGGCTAAATTGCTGGAAACCAAAACATTCCTAAAGGAGAGATGCTACTTGGAGACTACTGCTTCAATAACAACTCACTATGAAACATTCTTGGCATTTATTCAGTTTAAGAAAAAGTTAAGGCACCAAAATAAAGGCAGTTCAATAATGAGGTTCATATAATAAAAATCCTGAAAGTGGGAGCATGGCTGCTGTGCATGAGAGGACGCAGGTAGCGGAGCTTCAGCTTGCCTTCCTATAAAAATATCCTACCGGTTTTTCTTTTTTCTTTTCCTTAATAGACTTGCCGCCTACATACTGCAAATATCCTGTACTAGGTATTGGGTACTGGTCTGTATCTCCCTCTTTTTCCTTCGGAACCTCATCTTCTTGTTAATATGATGACTCAGCAGAAGGAAGGAGTGGGGCAGCATTCCTGGTACAGCTTCACACAGTTCTCCCTTCCCACTAGATCCAAAAAGGAGAAAACAAAGGACTAGGCAACAGCTCACTTGGAGCTCTTTGTGAGCCATCAGAGCCTAGTCAGGAAAGCCCAGGAAAATAAATCTTCCATACAGATGGATCCCTGCCACCAGCTGAATCTGCTGTATTGAAAATAGCCTATCTTTGGATCCACTTCTTGCTCCTTTACCATCTTCACTTGCATATCTTAAAATTGTTCCTTCCCTAAAATATTTGAGCATTACTATTACTAACTCCTCTGGATATTACATCTCAGATAATATCTTACCTCTATTGGCTAGATTCTTAAACCAATGTAAAATAGGAGTCAAGCTGCCTCTCTCTGTGGTTGGTAATGTCAATTTAATAAAAATGGATGCCCCAGCTTCTTTATTTTCTACACAATTCCCCAATATGGATACCACCAACATTTTTAGTAAAAATGAATGCCATCTTTTGGGCTTTAATTTGAAAAAAGAAATCCCGTAGGCTTAAATTAGAGTTATTGCAATATTCCAAAAGTGAAGGCGGTTTAGCTGTTTCTAACCTTGAGTATATTTTATTGCTGCCCAGCTGCAGCTCGCAGTCAGCAGGGACTGTGTGGACTTCCCTAGATCTTCCTTCAGGTTGCTTATTTTTCTATTTTAAGGTAGGCCTTCACTTCATTTGTCTTAAACACCCACTCAAAATAGGTCACAATCTTCCCAGGCCACCTCTCTCAATGAGAAAGGTATGGGATGCTGCAAAGAAATTGCTAGGGGTATCCTCTTTTACTAGATACTGTATATTCCTACTTGGCACAATTACCTTTTCCCATAAATTTGTAGAGAGATGGGAGTACCAGAGTCTACACCTTGTTCTATCATCATCATAATGGGTCGCTGAAGTCCTTTGCACAACTAACTGATGAATTTGCACTCAATTCTCGATGGTTTTCCAGTTCCTTCCATTCAGGCATTCTGTAAAGATGCAACCTAATTTAGCTTCTGTTTCTTTCTCTCACATGCATGTAATCAATAATATTGTTTGGGCATCCTCTATGAAAAGTTTGATTTCTGCCACATATGTGATGTTATTAGACCATTTCTTATTGAGATTTCTACTAACATGTACAGCACAATGAGAAAGGGATACAGGCACCATTTCAGATAGTTGGGATAGTATTGTACAATCTTTGCAATGGGTTTCTCTTTCTCCTTTTGACATACTGACTCAGGTATTCATTCTATATAGGGCAGGGGTGGGCAACTGTGGCCCCCCAGCTGTTGTAGAACGACAAGTCCCATGAGGCATTACAAAACTGACAGTTACAAGCATGACTCCCAAAGGCAGAGGCATGATGGGACTTGTAGTTCACCAACAGCTGGAGGGCTACAGTTGCCCACCCCTGACATAGGTTATATAGAACTCCCAATTTTTTTACATACAATTGGGGTGAGAGATAACTCATGTTGTAAGAGGTGCGGTCACTCTTCAAGTTGAACCAAGTTAAACAGATATTGGACTGAGGTTGTAGGTACTTTAAATGGTTTATTGGGGACTAATCACTTAGTGGAACCCCTTATGTACCTGCTAAGCTATATTGATTCCTCTTTTATGGGTCATGATCTGGGGCTGACTATCTCTAGAGCTTTTATTTGGGGCTGACTATCCCTAGAGCTTTATTTATAGCTTATAGGCTGATTGCGCTTAAATAGACCTCACCCACCAACTCTCTCTTTTTGGATAAGGGCTCAAAATGAATATATCGCCTATGAAATACATACTTATTATTTCTGAAACTCTGTGCATAAATGCAATGATATATGGTATCAATGGATGGAATACATGACTTCTTCTTTCAGGTCCCCATATAATTTTATTATAGATGTACTGTACATATATATATATATTTCATAAAAGCAAAAAGTGCACTGAGAAGAGTAAAGGGGCTAAACCGCCCTCAAACAGCATGGATACTTTGCAAACAAAGATGGAGGCGATCGCCGCCATAACTGGAAACGATGTCACCGCACTTCGATCCGCCCCTGAAGTCACGTGATGGGTGACGCAACACGCTGGACAGAAGTGTGGTGATGTAATTTCCGGCTACATCGACGTTCACCGCCTTCTTTGTTTACAAAGTATCCATGCTGTTTGAGGGCGTTTTAGTCCCTTTGAGTGCATTCTTTGCTTTTATAAAGTTTTAATAAATGTACTTTACTGCACTATGAGGGGCCCCTTTCTCTTACTTACCCATACATGATATCCTATTGGTTCTGGTGATGTGGAGCTCTCAGTGACCAGATGGACGTGGAGGTGGGCGTGCATGCCAGGTGGTGGTGGATATCACACGTGTATAATAAAAGGAGAAGATTCACGGAATTACACCTTTGATATTCACTTCAATATGGACTGTCACTTTGTATTTGTTTTCACAGTATTTATATGATTATATATTTTTATTTTAATTTGTATCTTTTGTTCATTGTGTATCTTACACGTTCAATAGTTTATCATGGATTATTGGTTGCATACCCCATAATAGGGGATTATTTGGACCTTATTTACACCAGTTGGTTATTGTCACTAATATTTGTGGTATTACAATTAGTTTTTTCCCTTTATTAATGACATTATTACCATTAATCACATATAAAGTTGGATATAATATATATTGATTTCTATTCATTTATATATATTTGTGTGTAGTGGTAGTAGTTTTTTAGCGCAGCCCTATTAGCTATTGACTTTGCAGACAGTTGGCAGCTTCTGTGTGCTTCAGCATGCACTAACCCTGCTCTGTCATTTTACATGGCCTACCACTTCGTGGCTAATTTGCTGTTGTTCCCAATTGCTTCCACTTTGTTATAATACCACTAATAGTTGAACGTGGAATACTTAATAGCAAGGAAATTTCACAGATTGACTTATTGCACAGATGGCAACCTATCACGGTACCACGCTTGAATTCACTGAGCTCCTGAGAGCGACCCATTCTTTCACAAATGTTTGTAGTAGTCTGCATGCCAAAGTGCTTGATATTTTACACTTGTGGTCATGGAGGTGATTGGAACACCTGAATCCAATGATTTGGAGGGGTGTCCCAATACTTTTGGCAATATAGTGTATATATATATATATATATATATATATATATAAATAAATATATATATATATATATATATATATATATATATAAATATATAAAGATCTTTCTTCTGTAATATTTCCAGCTTGTCTTTGAGACATAAATTGAGCAATTTCTTATACATCATCAATGGTAGGTGTAGAAAGGTAAATCAATTTGTTCAGTACTGACTTAAAGTGTTACTAAACCCACAACAGTAAAATCAGTCTATATGCAGTAAAGCGTGCTTGTTATACTCACTGTGGAACCTAAGGAGTTAATCCTCTGCATTGCTTAAAAAGGCTGTTTGATCCTGACTTCTCTGATCCTCTTCTTCTTCCAGTGTTCCCCTCTTATCTCCTGATAAGACATATTGTGCGGAGTGACTCTGCACATGCTCAGTTTGGTGTGTATTGCTAGAGAGGTTTTTTTTTCCTTGGGAGAGTGCATATGATCAGCACAGGGCCAATCAGCACTGTCCAGACAGTTATCAAGGGTTCTGCATTCTCCAAGAGCAAAATGAAATCTCCTCCTACAAGCTTTAACATGTGCTCTGCTGGACACTGATAGAAGTCACAAGACTGCTCTAACTGCTGATGATAAAAGGTATTTTGCAGTTTATATTTACAAAAATAATTGCATTTCCATGTTCTGTGTACTGTGGGGGACCAGATAGAGTGAATGCAGGGTCCTGGGTTTAGTAACACTTTAACTGTAGTGTTAACTGTCAAATATGTAAATGTAGGTGAAGATGGTCCTTAAACAGCATCTATGAGACCAGTAAAAATATTAGTAGTTTAATGGGGTCAAATTAATTAAAGGTTAGCTGTGATTGGTTCATATGAGGTGCTGCAAAAGAGTGCACTACTCTGCATAAAAAAAGTTAATTTGCCTAAAGTTTCCACCATATATTACCAATATTCACATTGGTAATTTTTAAGTGTATTGATAAGGTAAACTTCTTTATAAACCAATGAAAAACAGATTATAAACAAGTGAAAATACATAAATAATAAATATGCACAAGCAGAAACTATTTCCAGTAGGATGTGAATATACAGTATGAGAATGTAAAACCCAAGAATTTGTGTACACAAGTTGAACAATTCTCAGGAGCCTTTCAAAATGAAGTCACAGTTCGAAAATGTATGAAAGAAAGAAAAAAACCATAACATCACACCATTATTAAAAGCTGGGGCTTCTGCTGGGCAGCCTGGAACATTCTGGATTAATTTCTCTGATAGATAAGCTGTTACGTCTCCTGTGGAAAGCTCACTCACCGCCTACTGTCTTGTAGATGTGCATGTAAAGCTAAACAGCAATCTTTTGTGCGTCTAATTATTCCAGGTAGAATGATCAGAATCCCTAATATATAGGAAACTTTCAGAGCCCCAATTCTTGTGTTTACAGATTCCACTGGTGTAACTATTGCCCTGTACACAACAGATAAATAATCAGTCTCTGGCATGGCAGGCTGTCAAGACTTGTATTTTAGATTGCTCTCTACGTGTACTACTTTTCACTTTGAAAATATTTTGTTTGAATTCTTAGCATTTTGCTGTATAACACACAAGATATTTTTTTTTTTAAATCAGAAATGTGTGCAGTTTATTAGCCTGAATTAAAGGTACTGTATCTATGTCATCTAGGGATCTGGGAAACAGGCACTGTAAACAGGACAACAAGCTGAACCAAGAATACAGATAAATAAGATAAATGATCTTACTGGCGGTGAAGTCTGTAGTTGCGAGAATCACAGCAGTAGTGGACAGTAAACATATAAGATATTTAACCTAAAGTTTCATTTTGTCTATGAAATGTATTGAACTGCTTTCCCGCCACCCTATAATAGAATTACTGCTACAGGGCAGAAGGGCTGCGCAAAATCACGTATATATACGTGATTTGCAATTCCTGGGTAGGGGGCATGCGCGCCGCCATTGCCGGCTAGAGTGTCAATCACTGGGTTCCGGCCAGAGATTCCCCGCCAGCATCCGGCGATCGGTATGTAGAACTGACAGGGGAGGTCTCCCAGGTCAGTGACAGGTCTCCCTCCTATCAGCAAGGATATGCTGCTGTGTACTTCTCTGCACAGTAGAGAAATACACAGCAGCATGTCTCCCTAGTACAACACACACACAGCACATCTTGTAAAACAGCACAGAGAACACTGTTAACCCTTTGATCGCCCCAGATGTTAACCCCTTCATACCCAGTGTCATTAGTACAGTGTCAGTGCTTTTTATTAGCACTAATCACTGTATTAGTGTCATTGGGATGTCAGTGGCATTTAGTCAGTTCCCACCCAGTGTCAGAATGCCCGTCGCAGTCCCTCTATAAGTCGCTGATCGCTGCCATTACTAGTATAAAAAAAAAAACGAATTCTAGTATATACAGTATACTGCCATTTGTAGATGCTATAACTTTCAAGTAAACCAATTAATTTACACTTATTGGGATGTTTTTTTTTTAGCAAAGACATGTAGCAGAATATATTTTGGTCTAAATTTATGAAGAAATTAGATTTTTTTATTTTTTTACTGGATATGTTTTATAGCAAAAAGTCAAAAATTTTGGTTTTTTTTTTCAAAATTATTGGTCTTTTTTGTTTATAGCACAAAAAAGAAGAAACGCAGAGGTGATCAAATATCAACGAAAGAAAGCTCTATGTGTGGGGAAAAAGGACATAAATTTCATGACCACACAATTGTCAAGTAAAGTAGCGCAGCGCCGTATTGCAAAAAATGGCCTGGTAGGGAAGGGGGGTAAATCCTCTGGAGGGCAAGTGGTTACTACCTATATGTTTAAAAATATATAGAACATTACCTCTGCCTTTTCTTAAACTGTGCCTTAAAGGCATTGTAAACCTTCCAGTCTGCACCTTGTGATTTTCACCTGTATAAGAAGCGCATTGATTGTGCAGTTTCATAGTACTGTCTTGTATACTCAGCCTATGGTAATGCAATCTTTACATTCCTGTCTCAGCAGTTTCTATTTGTGTTCAAACATGAAGCATGCTGCATGGCACTGCACAGGTAATGCTTGACTTCTATCTGTAGTCTAAAAACTAACACTTCCTGGGAAGAAACTACATATCCCACAATTTCTGGGTCTCTCAGTTTTGCACTGGTGCAGGTGCAGTAATTACATCTGACACGGCCACAAACAGGCAGAGATCTCACCATGTCGGGAGAGATGTGTTTCATCACACTGACACTTCCAAATTTGTGATGCAACATAGAGAAAATTGCAAAACATAGAATGGACCCTGTGTGACCCAGAACTTGCCTGTCCCTTTACTCAATTGGGACAAGCTAGGTGAATGAATAAATGGACATAGGGGAAGGGGTCAGCCATGACACTACAAACTGCAGCTACCACATATGAATCCATCATTACAAGGCAAGGCAATTAACACAGGCATTATAACTACACTAATACCTGGTTAAAATAATGTTCGGTTTTGGCTCGTTTTTCCTGCAACATGCATAACGCAGCCCATTGATTTCAAAGTAGCAAAGTATCACATGGGACATTTTGGCGTGTTGAGGTTGGCACGTTTATTACTGTTCTTTTTGCTCCATTTGTGGCTTGCTTTTTTATGTGGCAAAATGTGTGTTTGCTTCTGCTTTTGGTTTGTCATTAACAATTAATGTTTAAAAGTGAGACTAGTTAATTTTAGGTTTATAAAGGTGGCAGTACACTATACAAGTGGATTGTACAATATCTGCACGATCTCCCTTAGATTTACCAAAACTATATAATAGAAGGACACACCATCTAGCCAATTACTCTGTATCAAATCAGGCAGACCCTTGCACTACATAGTTGATGGTATATCTAAAGGAGATTGTACAATCAGATTGTATAGTGTATGATGAGCTAGACATACTTCCAAGACACACACCTTCTGTTTTCAATAGTACAGCTCTATCCACATAGGCTGTTATTTGATTACTCAGCACCTGCACACTCTGCCAAAATGAACGATCTATGCAAGAAAACAATTGATGGCTGAGTATTTAGTTATAACGCTGATCGCTGCATCCTCGGATAAGGGTCTGGTATAGATTTTGGGGGGGACCCCCACACCAATTTTTTTTAAAGTCGAAGGGCTTGGTATGGGTGGGAGGGGGGGACCCCACACTGTTTTTTAAATTATTTTTTAATTGCCGGCAATTCTTCCTTTTACATTCAGCTGTCAGTGGGGACCACCACTGATAGCTGAAACATTAATGCATGGTTTTCACTACTAAAATACTGCATGGCTTGATAAAATAACTCGTGGTATTTTAGTAGCACTTTTTAGTGAATTTACTATTTTTCAGTGCATTTTGGGCATTTGGAATGTCTCCTGAGGTTATCTTTTAAAAACGCTTCTAAACGCAAACGTGGATAAACGCGGTAGGTAAACACGGCTAAACTGACGTTTTTAACCTACATTTTCTAGCAGTCAGAAGAGTTTTTCAAACGCCCTGTGTACATGAGCCCTAAGAGTTTGAATGGGTTATGGACATATGATTTACATCATGGCATTTTTTACATGCTCATGTTTGCTGGTAATGTTATTTTCATTTAATAAAGTTAAAAATGTTCAATGAAATACATTTACCAATTGAATAGGAAATACTGAAGCTTGCATTGCAGCCATCACATCAGTATGTGATGATAGTTGTAGCTGACAATGCTAACCAGTTCTAAGCACCCTTTTGTTTTAAAGGGCACACTGTTTTAAACTGCCAGATTTGCAGATTTTGTAAATGATATAATAAACTTGAAGATTACTTTCCATAATCAGTTAATATGGGGGCATTCTTGCAAGTGATAATTTGCACTTGTGGATGTTGATAAGTGCTAGCCTGCAGAAATCTTGCAACATCTTACAAAGAAAAGGGATCAACACTTTGTGTGCTGTCAAAGTCTGGATATACAGTTTACAGCAAAATATGTAATTTTAGTGAGGATGGGCAACTTTCTCTCTTATCTACCATATTGAATCATCACAGGAAAATGGTTAATTAAAAATTTGCATTAAAGCAATATATTAGCCACTTGTAAGACCCACTTATTGTGTACTTTTTACAATGCCAGTGGTGCTACAGTCATCAATTTAGTGTACAAGTTGTAGCCAGTCCCCCTTGTTATAATGGCGAGGTCTGCTGGTAAATATAGCAATAGTATAGCTCCCAAATGTCCCTACTTTGGGGAGACTGTCCCTCTTTTGGAACCAACCCCCTACGTTCCTTTCCTCCTCATTTGTCCCTTTTTTGATCTCATGCATAGACCTCTATAAAGAAACATACATACTACTTAGTTACTAGAAGTGTTTTATCGCGCTAAATTTTATATGTGACCACTAAATTATTGCGTTTGTTTGTATGACATGCAAGTATGAAGAAAAAGTAGAAAAAAAATCACATGTGGGATTAACCAATCATTTTTTTATTCCATTCTTCATTGTCTATGTAACCAGGTGCACCACAGAATTGTGTCCCTTGCCTATATACCTTATACTAAAAGGTGTTCCTCATTCTCATCTCAGAGAGCTGGGAAGTATGGCAACGGCCTTATACAAATAATGGATGTAAAATGTCTGAATTTAGGATCATAAAACACATTCTGTTGGTAGAAGAACTTGATGCAAGACCTTGAGTTCAGATACTTGTAAAAAAGGAAGAGTGCAGTACCAAGTTACTGTCACACATGTAGTCACAATACCAACATTGTATATTCTGAACAACCAAAG